ACCTGATTGTTTTTATCCTAGCTGTGTTACTTGCCTTCTGGCAGGGTGTGTTCAGTATTGCCAGTGGTATTTTATATGTCTTAAGACTTTTTAAGAGGGATGCTACCTGCTTGTTTTAATGTTCTGGCTTGGAGCAAAAAGCCCGTGACAGTGCCCTGTCCTAAATGAGATTGCATCCCTGCTCTGCCTTCAGGTTGTCAAACTCTGCGATCCTGTTTTCCTCCTGTTCTCAGGAAAACACTTCCACCCATTTGAGACTTAGAGCTGCTTTTCTGCAGCTTCCTGAGGTCAGTCTTGAGGTGCAAACAGCCCAAACCATAGCTATGTTATCCCAACTGCGCAGCCAAACCACAGCTCTGGCAAGGATGCAATTAGGTTTACTCTTGGTTTCCGCACCTGATGGTGGCTACCTTTATTTTGGCACCTTTAACTACCAGGTCTTTGAAGACCTGTTGACTGGGAGCCAAGATCTGGAGTGTAATGGATACTTTGGCAACAGTGTTTACTTGAGCAGTTTATAATTTGGTTGGGTAGACTAAATGTGTGAAAGACAGTGATAGAATAGAAAGTTCTTGGCCAGGCGCGGTGGCTCATGCCTATAATCCTAGCACTCTGGGAGGTCGAGGCGGGAGGATTGCTTGAGGTCAGGAGTTTCAGACCAGCCTGAGCAAGAGTGAGACCCATCTCTACTAAAAATAGAAAGAAATTATCCGGACAACTAAAAATATATATAGAAAACATTAGCCAGGTTATGGTGGCACACACCTATAGTCCCAGCTACTTGGGAGGCTAAGGCAGGAGGATCGCTTGAGTCCAGGAGTTTGAGGTTGCTGTGAGCTAGGCTGACACCACGACACTCGAGCCTGGGCAACAGAGTAAGACTCTGTCTCAAAAAAAAAAAAAAAAAAAGTAACAAAGTTCTCTGCAGGTTAGAGTGAGTTGAGTGATAGAGTGCTGTGGGAGTCCAGGTGGGAAAGACAGCTTGCTAGTTGGGGGCCCAGCTCGGGGCTCATGCCTGTAATCCTAGCGCTTTACAAGGCCAAGGTGGGAGGATCTCTTGAGGCCAGGAGTTTGAGACCAGCCTTAGCAACATAGCAAGATCCCATCTATACAGAAAAATAGAAAAATTAGCTGGATGTGGTGGCATGCACCTGTGGTCCCAGCTACTCAGGAGGCTGAGGCAGGAGGATCTCTTGAGCCTAGGAGTTTGAGGTTACTGTAAGCTATAATTGTGCCACTGCACTCTACCCAGGCAACAGAGCAAGACCCTGTCTAAAAAAAAAAAAAAAAAAAATACAGCTGGATTTTTTTCCTAAAGAACCCTACCTTATATAAATATATATTATCTACTTTTTTGGTGTGTGGCATGACAGTAGCTGCACAGGTTATCTACCATTTTAAAAACCCACTTCTCCAGTCTTCCAAGTCAGTCTTTAATAATGTGGTCATCCACATGATGGATGTTTAGATTTTATGCAGAGAAGTGCCCATTAGTCTCTTACCTGTGCTACACGTGCCAGCATTCCACACGCACTTCATTTAGTCCTTAAAATAACCCTGTAAAGTAGGTCTTCTGTCTCTATTTTTTCAGATAGGAAGATTGAGACTTTTTTCTTTTCTTTTTTTTTTTTTTTTTTTTTGAGACAGAGTCTCACTCTTTTCCCCGGGCTAGAGTGAGTGCCGTGGTGTCAGCCTAGCTCACAGCAACCTCAAACTCCTGGGCTCAAGTGATCCTTCTGCCTCAGCCTCCCGAGTAGCTGGGATTACAGACATGCGCCACCATGCCTGGCTAATTTTTTTTCTATATATTTTTAGTTGTTTGATTAATTTCTTTCTATTTTTAGTAGAGACGGGGTCTCGCTCTTGTTCAGGCTGGTTTCGAACTCTTGAGCTCAAACAATCCGCCCGCCTCGGCCTCCCAGAGTGCTAGGATTACAGACGTGAGCCACCGCGCCCGGCCTGAGACTTTTTTCAATCTTTATTTTTTTTGAGAAACGAGGTCTTGCTATATTGCCTGGGCTTAAGCGATCCTACCACCTCAGCTTCCCGAGTAGCTGGGACTACAGGTGCACGCCACTGTGCCAATCTCCTGAAGACTGAGGTTTGATTAATGGGTTAACCAAATTCATACAGTTCTTAAGTGGTAAACTTAGGATTCCAACCCAGGTCAACCTAACTAAAGCCCAGATTCTGTCTCATCCCTCTGGAACATCAGATACCATCTCTGCTAGAAACCACTGGCCTTCTCACATTAGGTCTTCTCAAGTATTTCATGAGCTTGACTCTAGATTCTCGTCTCTTCCAAGTTGCCCTGTGAAGAAGTGAGAACCGCTATTTTGTGGGCCTCTGGGATCATGGGAAGTCGCCTAAACAATCTGCCAATTTTCTAGCTCACTCAATTTTGACATTTCTACAGTTTCACCCTTGGTTTCCTTGGAAATTCAGTTGGCTTTTCTTCATTTCTTTCTTTGGAGGTTTCTTTCCTTTTGTTGGTTATTCATTTAGACATTTTATTCTGTCACCTAGAATTTTTGTATCTTGAACAAATCTGGAGATCTCAATGTATTTTTTTTAACAGTCTTATGCCTTTCTATATTCATAGTTTCTAATTTGGTTTGGTTTGAAATTGTTCTTTTCCCTTTTAAAGATTTAGTGTCCACAGCTACCTGATGCCATTTTGGTTCAGGGGGACCGTGGGTAGGTTCTACTCATGAAGATCCACCACTCCCGATGAATCACATGCTGCTTGTACCATCATCTTACTCCTTTATAAGGAGTCTCGGGGACCCTGGGCATCACTGGGGTCCTGTCTCCTGTACCAGTAGAATTTTAGGGAACACCATCCAGGATGGTCTAGCTTTAAGTATCCTACTTAACCTAATGTGGCTCACAGGCTCTCCCTATATGCCTGGTCTGTCTCTTGAAAGGCAAGAGGAGAGTGGCATGATCTGGATAGAGTATGTTACATCTAAAGGTCTGGTCACCAGATGTGAGTTGTAGAAACCGCTTCTCTCATCCCTAAACAATTCCACAGTTGTAGGAGCTGACATTAACCTGCAATGTCCCTGATAGCCTCCTCAGTGAGGATCTCCACCAGTTCCTTCCCCCTCCTACCCTCCCTTCCTTAACACATTAACTGCCTTATGAGTTGTATTTAACTCACGTTAGTTTTGACTCCGCAGCCTCGTGAAGCATATGTAACTTACAAGCATATGTAACTCACATGTCTCTTCACCTTGGGAGCGGTGAGAACTATTTTGGGAGCTGTGAGAACTATTTTTCAAGTTGTATGTAACTCAAATGCAGAAAAAAATTAATAAAATTTTCATTAAATTAGAAAGGATCGTTTTGTTTTTGAAGTTTTTATTCTATTTTCATAATAAAACACCGTGGCCCCAAGGAAAAGAATTTTTTTCTAGTGTGGCAATCAATGTGTTAAGAAGTGGGGGAATTCCTTCTCCAGTTCCTAACCCCCACCCTGGAGGTTTTCAGATACCTGGGAAAATGAGCTACAATCCATTAAAGCTTCTTTACAAATGACCAGGGAACCTGGGCGTTCTTGCAGAGCCTTCTCAGCTAGAGAGGAGAAGCTCTCCTTTCTCCAAATCCAGGGCCCCACCCCGGCAGGTTAGGGCTATAATCAGAACCCTTGGAGTACACGGACTTGGACTCTTGCCTCCTCACTAATTAGCTGTGTTACTCTGAGTAAGTCGTGTTCTCTGGGCCTCTGTTTCCTTTTTCTCTCTATAATAGGACTAATAATAACTCAAGCTGTTGGGAAGATTTAATGAGATAGTATGTGCAAAGGGCCTAGCACATATTAGGAGCTCAAGGTTGGTGCCATCCCTTATTCCTTGCTCTGAACTGAAAATGAAGCCTTGGGAAAGAAGGAAGGTGCTGCAAAACGAAGTCAGGTCCCAAAAGATGTCAAAGTTCCTCTGCAGCTCAGCCCTCTGCAATGGCTGGCACGTCCCTACCGACCAAAACTTCTCCTCAATCCCTGTTGTTCCACTATTGTCCGCCAGGAGGAGAAGAGGCGCACGTTCCCCCAAAGGCTGCCTTCGCATGCGCGCTCACAGAGCCTTGAGAGAGCGGGGCCGCGGGGGGGGGGGGGCCCGCGGCCATGCGCGCCCTTGAGTCTCCTGGGGGCGGGGCGGGAGGGCGCACGCGCAGAAGACTGGGCTTCTGTTTTCTGCGCGGCTGGAGTCGGGTCGGGAGGCCTGGATCTGGGGTGGGGAGGGGAGCAAGGTGGCGCGGGGGAAGGCAGGGGCCCTGCGGGCATTTCTTCTTCCTCCAGGACTAGCTGTCATCTTCGTTTTCCAGAAGGGACGACCTGACTCCTTTTAGAGTTAGCATATTCCCCTCTTCGTGGATGCTCTTGAGTTCCAAAGAAAGGGAAGAGAAGCATTCATTAACCCACTTCTGTCATAGAGACTGCAAGGGAAGTGGGTCGACCTTAGGGGAAAGGTTGACCTTACTAGAGGAGGTTTTAGATTGGGGTTTTCTGTGTTTGAAATTTTACAAATACTGAAAAGTAGAAGGAAGAAAGTTGAAGTAATCCATGTTTCCATCACCTCAAAGTATCCATTGCTGTCTTCTGAAAATGGATCCTAAAATGTTTGTTCAGCAAGTGTTTATTGCTGAACCTACCAATACTAAGCACTTAGCACTGTTTGGTTGTGAGGGAACTACAGAGGGAAAAGAACAATGATCAGGAAACAGGATTTTTAGAAATCTGTGCAAATGAGTGGCATGTTAGGGTATCTTTAAGGGACAATCCTATAGCAAATGACAGAGATTCATTTTACAAAGAAAGATTTTGGACAAGAAAACTCACAGAAGAGAGAAGCTGTGGATATGATAAGAAAAGCATTACAATCTGTATTTGAATGTAATTGCACATTAGAGGATATATCTGAAAAATTAACCCAATTCTCTGATTTCATTAAATTTTTCTTGTAAGGTTTTCATCAGATTTTTTTTTAATAAAAATGCTTTATTGTACAAATCCCATACAATCTCAGGCCCAGGGCCCAAGCCCATGGCCCCAACCTATCCCTGGCTCCAAGCCTGCTCTTTGGTTTTCACCCTGGCCTGAAGTGTCCATGAGCATACCCATGTGTGGGGAGGCCTGCTTGGGCTGCAGGCACTAGGGCACTGTGGCAGCCTCAAGGTGAAGACAGATGGGGTGGAGTGAGGGCCCCATCTACCCAGGCTCAGGGTTTACAGGGGTCCACACAATCCTTTCCACTGCGGAACACATGGTAGATGCTGGTGGGAAGGAACATGGCGCCAGCGCCGAGCATGGAGCCCACCTGGATGGCCACGCCAGCTGCCAGCAATGCAGGCCGGCCCCTGCCATGCAGCAGGGAGCTGGTGGCCACCTTCACGTATGAGAACATGCCCAGACACAGCATCCACGACAGCACCTGAGAGGGGGGACATAGCAGAAGGCTGAGCATCATGTGCCCCTGCTCCAGGGCAAACCCCCCTCCCCACTTCATATCCCCACTGTGCTCACCACAAGGACCACCCCTGCAGAGGTGCCCACCAGGGGTGGACAGGGGCTCAGGATTGCCAGCACCACCAGGTATGCCCCAAAGAGTCCGGCCAGCAGAGCAAGACCACCCAGCCCTGCCAGGGATCTGTGGGGGGTGAGCAGAGACTCAGGGCTAGCTGCACCCGGACCCAACCCCCACCCCTAAGTGCCACCCACTCTCGGGCTTGGGGCCCCTTGTGCACCTGCACAGCACGCCCATGGCCAAGAAGCAGGCAAGGGAGTTGGCGGCACTGCCCAGCACCACAGCCAGGTGGTAGGCCAGGCGCCCATAGGGTAAGCAGGAAAAGCTCTGCACTGCAGGCAGCACACCATGGGTCAGTGCACTGGTGATGGCCAGCAGGCCCAGCAGGCAGGCACCCTGGGCCGAGAGCCACCAGCGGGTCTCAGGGTCTGGGCCACGGTTGGTGCCTGCTGCCTGGCTCGGTGGCTCCCGCAATGGCAAGGCCTCTTCCTCCTCCTCCTCTGTTCCTGGGGTTTCCATTTGCAGTTCAGGCCCTGGGTCCCCTGTAGGTACAGATGGTAGTGATGGCAACAGCAACAGGAGACCATGGAAGGCAGCAGCTGAAGTGACCAGAAGGGCGGTCAGTGACCAGAAGAAGGTGCTGGCAGGAAAACGCTCAGGGATGTGAAGCGGAGGATCAGAGGTGGTGTTGGTGGGGGCTGGCGGGCACTTGATGCGGCCCACACCCTGCACTAGGGCCAGCACACAGAGCAGCAGGGTGCTGAGCCCCTGACCCAAGAAGAAAGACCTTAAGAAAGGAGGTGGCAGGTGGCTCAGGAAGGGCAGGAAAGTGACATTAGAGGTGCAGCAGGCCAGTGCCAGCACCAAGGCCAGTGTTAGGAAGGCCACAGAGTGGAGCTGCCCTGCCACTGGTGCCACATGATGCCACAGAAGGGCCAGCAGGGCTGTGCCCACCACGCTCAGTGCCTGTACCACCTGGATGGGGACCTGCTCGCCCTTGCCCGGCGCCAGCCGCCTCCACAGGGTCACCACCAGCAGACCCAGGTTCCCCAGCGCCACACACACAGAGAGGTATGAGGGGAGGCTCCAACCTGCAGGGAAGGAACGATGCCGTGTCACAGGCACAATGGCTAAGGGACAAAGAGCAATCGCGGCCCGCCTTCGTGGGCGCACTTGCCCCAGCCTCCCTACACCTCCCTCCCACTCACCCTCTGGAAGGTCTTTTACCACCACAGGCAGCTCCACCCAGATCCCATTGACGGCAGCCCACGAGCCCATGCCGAAGAGAGCCACCAGCAGGTGGGTCAGTGCCAGACGGCCCAGCGTGGGTGCTGCCATTCAGCCCAAGGCTGGGCCCTCCAGGACGCGCCAAGGTCACAGCCAGCTCTTTTCCCACCTAGGTCCACAGACGGTTTTGCTCTTCTGGAAACTGAAGACGTCTGGTAGGGAGCTTGGAAACGGGCATGCGGGGCACGGAGCCGGAGTCAGAAGACAAGATGGCCAGACTACCAAGACCCAGGGACCTGGAGGGAGCACCAGGCAGGGGCGGGAATGGGGAGGGGCTAAGCCTACCGAGAGGCACCGGCTGGCCCGTGCCGGGAGCGCGGCGCAGCAACGCCCGCGAGCAGAGAAGCAGGAAGCCGGCACTAGGCGCCGCGGCCGCGGGAGGGCCCGACGACGGAGGGAGCTGATCTTCCTACCACGGAGGACCAGCGGTCCGAGCTGTCGAAACAACTCGGCACCGCCACCGCGCACGGACCCCGGGACAAGGGCGTCTCTCGGGCGCCACTCACGCCCCTGGGGGTCCTGGATGCAGGAGCCACGTCGGGCTTGAGGAGGGAGTGGCCGGGCCGCGCTCTGCCCGGAAGGGCGCCGGGTCCCGGCTCCCGGCCTCTGGGTCCGGGTGTTTACTTCTGCCACGCGAGGGCGCCGCCCTCCAGTCCCGGGACGCAGCCCCGGCCCGAGCCCGCAGGGCCAGGGGTGTGGCTGGGATTCGGGACGCTGCTGGCAGGCCTGTCCCTAGATTTTTTTTTTGAGACAGAGTCTGACTCTGTTGCCCTGGCTAGAGTGCTGTGGCGTCATCCTAGCTCACAGCAACCTCAAACTCCTGGGCTCAAGCGATCCTCCTGCCTCAGCCTCCCGAGTAGCTGGGACTACAGGCACGCGCCACCATGCCCGGCTAATTTTTTCTATATATATTTTTTTAGTTGTCCGATTAATTTCTTTCTATTTTTAGTAGAGACGGGGTCTCGCTCTTGCTCAGGCTGGTTTCGAACTGCTGAGCTCAAACAATCTGCCCGCCTCCGCCTCCCAGAGAGCTAGGATTACAGGCGTGAGCCACCGTGCCCGGCCTGTCCGTAGATTTTTAAATCACAAAATAATGCATGCTAATTGTACACAGAATCGTCAACGCTGAGAGTTTTAATCCTCAGAGGAAAATGAGGCCATAAACCTAAGTGGCTTGCCTGGACTCCTGTAGGGTAGGACTGGGACAAGACCTCCAGCTCCCAGTTCTAGGCTGGTCTCTTTCCGCAGCATCACAACAGCTGCATGCATCTCAGGCCTTAAATGACATACTTGTTCACTTACTGTCCATCTCAGGGATCACTCTGGCCTACCCTGTTTTAGTGTGGCCTGCGAGCTAAGAATGGTTTTTACGTTTGTAAATGGTTGGAAAAAAATCAAAAGAAGAATCATGTTTCCCAACATGTGAAAATTATATGAAATTCAAATTTCAGAGTCCATCAGTAGAGTTCTAGTGGAACACAGCCACACCTGTCATTTACATATTGTCTGTGGTTGCTTTCCTGCTAGAAGGGCAGAAGGGAGTGGTTTCCATAGAGACTGTATGGCCCCAAAGCCTAAAGTATTTACTATCTGGTCATTTACAGAAAAAGTTTTCTGGTCTATCTCCCTCACTAGGAGGTAAGTTCGCTGACAGAAGGTACTTTGTCTATTTTACTACCTATCCTATTCTCAGAGATCATAGGTGCTCAAGTTGTTGTTGAATGAATGAACCACAAAAGCCCTAAAATCTGTGTTTTTTAAAAAACACAAACTCTTTAGGTGACTTTGATGTGTAATAAGGCTTGGCTTCGCTGCTGAGGGGACAGGCTGAACCAGTCAGAAATGTGGTCAAATTGAGGTTCCCACAGTAATACCAAACAATGGTGTTTCTCATACTCTGAGAAGATTAGAATTAAAAAGACACAATCTATTTATCTGACACTTTTTTGTGCTTATTATATGCCAGGCACTGTTCTAACTATTTAAAAAATATTAACAAATGTAATCCTTCTAACAGCCCACTAGAGCGGCCACTATTGTTATTATTTTTTCATTGTACCCTCTGACATCAGACAGCTACTATTATCATGGCCCCATTTATACATGAGGAAACTGAGGCCCATAAAGATTAAGTCACGCCCCCAACCTTCCACAGGGAGGAAGCAGAGCCGGGATTTGAGCCGTGCTGATGGTCTAACTCCAGGGCCTGTCCCTTAATTTAGGATATCACTTCACCTCTAGGCCAGAGGTGTCTGCCACTGCCTATTTGCGAGTCAGTTATTGACAATTTATAACCAAAATTCCCTATGCGTTAGGGACCTCGCAGAGGAGGAAAAGAAAAAAGTACAGATGCTTCTCTTGGAATGAGTTTGAGACAAAAGAGATCTCTATGTCTTGGGAAATGGAGTTCTGGCTGAAGAGAGGCCAAATGCTAGAAAGGCTGCCACAAGAGAGGTGCCACCCACTCAAAGGGAGTCGCGAGCCGGCTGTGAACAGTTGTTGTTCGAAGTGTGCCTGGGGTGGTTGTGGTTTCTAGGATTATCAAAGTGCCTTGTGTGTGGGGCCCGCTGAGGGATGGATACTTGAAGTAGGAAGGGGAAGAACATCACTGGGCACTGCTGTGTCCCGAGATCAAATTTGTTCACGTGTGGGGTGAGGGGGCTCATGGAAATGGGAAGATAGGTCATTGTAGGTTTCAATGGGAAGTGCCTCAAACCTTGGGCTTCACCCTGAATTTTCACAAAACAGCAGGGGACAGGATGGGGAGTAACCAAGGAGACGGAGTATCTAACTTGCCAAGGTACAGAGTCCTTCTCACTCCGAGGATCCCTGTGCTTCTTGGTGGACAGGCTCCCTGGGGTAAACAGGCTAAACAGCCCTAAGGCTATTATTTGCCAGCTCAGCTCACCCTAATGCTATAGCACCGAGTGCCCCAGGGAACAGGGTGTCCAGGGCAAATAGCGCTTGAGTGCCCCAGGGAACAGGGTGTCCAGGGCAAATAGCACTTCTTAGATAGGAAGCGGTGAGGTGGCAGGGAGCATAAGGCTGTCCTCATTCAGCAGCGAAGAAGACGATGGCTTCTCCTGCTCACGTACTGTATCCAGTGCAGGCGGCGGCAGGGGCAGCAGCAAGGATTTTCCAAGTCTCCAATTTCCGATTTTTCACCCTTCCTAATTTCCTTACCTGTTACCCAGAAAGTAGCTGGAATCCTAGACAATTGTTAGGATTCCTATTTTGAAGACCTCACAGCAGCATTCTCGTGCTGGGGGTGGGAGGGGAGAGTAGACACAAAATCCTTACAGCCTTGGGGGGCACTGGGCTGGCCTTGGAGCAGGCACCATGAAGGCCCTTATTCATGAATCGTGCATGGGGTAAACCCTCCTTACTGATTCTGTCCTCTCGTGTCTATGCAGAAGGTCATCCCAGATGAAGGTTGCTGCCTTCCAGTGTTTGCCTTCTGCTCTGGCAGTAGCCCTCCACCCTCTCCTCTATCTCGGGAATACCTGGCCTTTGATCGCAGAGAAGGAGGTCAGCCCAATCTGTCAGCATCCTTATCTCATTGCTTCTGGCTTCAACCTGGCTGCTCCCAGATGGATCTTGAACTCTTCACTGTGGGTAGTTGTAAAGGGCCACAGTTCTTACCCCTCCGGTGTGACCATCTCTGGTCTCAGGCCTGGATGTGACAAGTCACCTGGGGGCAGGGGAGGGGGGAAGAACAAACCCAACCAGCTAGTACAACTTAAACCTTCAGGGTGGATTTATTTACTTATTTTAGAGACAGGGTCTCCCTCTGTCACCCAAGCTGGAATGACAATCATAGCTCACTGTAACCTCAAACTCTAAGGCTCAAGAGATCCTCCTGGCTCAGCCTCCCAAGTAGCTGGGACCACCATGCCCAGCTAATTTTTTCTTTTTATTTTTTTAGAGATGAGGTCTCACTATGTTGCCCAGGCTGGTCTCGAACCCCTGGCCTCCAGCAATCCTCCCGCCTCAGCCTCCTGAGTCGTGGGCTTCATTGTATTTATTTTTAAAAATATTTATGGAGGGCCCACTGCTTAGGATGCATTTTACCATGTATTTTGGATGAGACAAAGGCGTATATAAAATCCTACAGGGTCTGGCCCTGTCCTTCCTCTCCTGCCTTCTTTCTGGCACTCTCTGCCTCCCACCAAATTGCTTATGGTTCTTTGCAGATATCACAGGATTTCCTGCCTTTGTGCCTTTCCTCTTCCTGGAAGGGCGGCCACATCCCATAGCTGTGGCTGGCTCCTACTCACCTGTGAATCTCAGCTTAGCTGCTGTAGTCTCAAGAAACCCTGATTCCCTCAGTCTGATTAAGTCCCTTTTCTTTTCAAGCTGACCTTGTCAATACGTTTATCATATAATAATGCAATTATAAATTTTGTGCTTGTCATCTCCCCTTGACCTTGGGCTCCTTGAGGTTAGGAACTGAACTATATTCACCCTTTGTATTTTCTCTTTTCTTTTTTCTTTTTTTGTTTTTACTGTCACATTTCACACACAACTTTTTCACCCTTTGAATCAGACCCAGATTTTCCTTAATGGAGATCACAGTCTAGTAGGCGAGAGAAGCCATCGTGAGCTTATAAAGTGATTATATCAAGGTGGGTGTGATAAATGCCAGAAGAGTAGCATAAATGAGGAAACTGAGGCTGTGACTTGCCTAAGTCACTCTCGGCTTCTTGGCAGCTGGCCAGAGCCAGGAGCCCAGCTCCAGCTGAAGGAAGCAGGCTGGGAAGGGGTCTGACACCAAGCCAGTCCTTAGCCTCTGAGCTGAAGACCTTGAGCCTCAGGGAGGTTGTGACTCAGATTAGGAGCCTGCATCATAAACAAGCTCATGCTCTGGTCGACGAGGCAGTGAAGAGCGGTGGGAGCAGCCCCAGACTGGACGTCAGGAGACCTGGGTCTTGCTTCGTGCTTTGTTCCACTTGCCCTGTGGCCTTCACATCCTCTTCAGTCTGTAATGAGAGCCCACTGGCCAAATGGGCCTCCCCAACATGCCATATCTTTCCCTGAGCCTAGAATGGCTTCTGTCCTTCCCTAAGTGTCTCCTGGGCAATACACTGCCTTTCTTTAAGATCCAGCTCAGATTCTACCTCCTGAGTGAAGCCTCTTCATCTTCCTCACCAGCTGCAGGCTGAGGGGTTCTCCTCCCTCCTCTGAACTCTCATAGAAAAAACTTATATACCTCTCTTAGGAATCTGAATCTTGTTCTGCTTTCCTATTTACTTACATGCTTATCTTGTTTCCCCTACTAAATTATCCCCATTAAATTTCTCTCTCTTTGAGAGCAAAGACTGTATTTATTTGTGTAACTTCCTTATTACCTCATTTGTGGTAGACGCTCTACTATTTGTTGACTGAAAGGATGACTCTCTTTTATCAGTAAAGTGCAGTGGCCAAAGGTACTCACTAGTGACTTTGGACTAGTTGGTTTCCCCAGCAGTAAATGGGAATAACAGTACCTGCCTAATGTGGCTGTGTTGAACAGTCTGTGGACACGTCGTAAACACTGAGTGTCAGCTCCTACTCTATTCCTCCTTCGAAATGTGTCAGAGCAG